TTTGTTTTGTATTTTATATACAGTTAACAACATATTTTATGAAACTATCTGTTGATTTTTGATAACATTAATTTTTAGATACTATTACGTCTTGAAATTGTGACTAGTTCAATGATTGAAAACAACTCTTTATAAATTTCGTGCTTCCGAAGCGCTCAATAAATATATTGAGTATTACCTTAAACTCAAAATTAATCAAACTTCCAACAATTCTTTTTTCCATAAAATATTTGACAAGCACGAATTGTTTGTTTATAGAGACAAAATTAATAATAAAAAATATAATACGTTATGAAAATTACGTCGTCAATTCAAATATTAGCAATAAATAATGAAAAAAAAAACAAAAAAAAAAACGAGGAAGACATAAGCTTAAACTATTTTCAATGTGTCAATTATTCCCAGACATGTATGTCTGACTGATCTCTTCACTTACATATGGAAATTGACAACGATTTTCGTTTGAGAGCACAAATGTGAAACAAATGAGCTGATTTCAACTTTCTACATGGGAATTTTCCATTTCTATGTAGCAACATATCAGCAGCGCATGCATATGGAGTAGATATCTCAAAGTAAATAAGATATTCCAGAGCTTGTGTTTTCTATCGTGATTTCCTTGATAGATGAATGCTGCTTAGGTTTCCTAGTGGTAAAATTGAAGTTATCTCTTCGAAATTAAAGTTCAGTTAACTCTACCATGCTTTGGTTGACCTGGATGAAATATCTGTTACGGTTAATACTGCCATGTGTTGCTGGAATATGAATAATATTACCTCTAAACTTGAAAGTGATTGTATCAATTTGTTAATATTTTTTTTTTAATTTGTGAATAATATCCTATAGGTAACCACTTTCCATGTGCTGATTTGGATGGTTTGACACACTATTGTCAATATGAACCTAGGGATGTTGTCTGCTATGACGAACAATCAGTAATTAAATCTCAGTGCTATGCTACCTGTGGACACTGTGGTGAGTATGTGTGTAACTTAATTAACTTAAAATATGCTTTGGCCTTGAGCATCAGTGAAAAGACATTATTTGTTGAAATGTGGATCTGCTGCAGTAAAATTGGTATCGTTAATGTTATTACTACCACTGGGTCGATACCACTGCTTATAGACTGTTAGTCCCCCAGGGTATCGCCAGCCCAGTAGACAGTTTTTCGGTACTGGAAGAGTACTTCGGTACTTGCAGGAAATTCGGAGATTATTTTATTTGAATTTGCTGTTATTAAATTTAAAATTCGTCTTAAATTAAGGAATGTATCTCCCTCATGCATAGTTCTGATTTTTTGTCAGGGTTTGGCGTTACTTTTGGTCGTTTTTATTATTTAATTAGCTCTTAAACGATTGTATTAGGTTTTGCCTTGAAAGTATTTTGGCCTAGAACATCCAGAAGAGACATTGTTTGCCGATAAAGCCTGTAAAGACAATGATACACAACATTATTGCAAACAAATCAACATTGATGTGGACTGCTTCAACGAACAACACATAATTACTTCCGGTTGTTACTCAACATGTCATCGCTGTGGTGAGAGACATTTTAAATGAGAAACAAATTATTTTCGCGACTTTCGCCAGTCGAAAAATAATGAGAATATAAATCGTCGCGAAACCGTAACACTTGGATCTTCCCTTATTTAAATGCACTATGTAAATATGAAAATAGCGAAATTAAATCGCCGCGAAATGGACTAGAAAGGGCTAAACGCAAAAGTCATCAGTAGAAAAAATACTTTAAAAAGAATTTGCAAAACTTCACGACTCAAATTAGCACAGACAAGACCATGACACAAAGAAAAAGATGAAATGACATATAGCAGCCCAAAAAGCTCTATGGAAGTGAATAATAATCAAGCAACTCTTTAAATATTTTCATTGACGTCATTTTTAAAATCTATTGTCCTGTCTTCATGTTTGAAATAAGTCTTTTTTTTTAACCAGATCTGTATCCAAATTCTGATGTAACACTTCCTATGGTGACAATGGATTCAACAGTTGGCTTGGTAACCAAAGAACCGGAAATCTTTCAAACGACTCCTTTAGGTGACAAATCGTGCCTTGACCATGAAAATCAGAACATGCAATATTGCCGTCTTCTAGATAAAAATATAGTGTGTCAGAATGAATTATACATCAAAAGTTATGGCTGTTTTTCTACTTGTTCTCGTTGTGGTAAGATATATAATAGTCCATGTACCATAATTGATCATGTGATCCCTTATCATGTGATCCCTTAAAAAAGCAGGAGGTAGGTGTAACAAATAGACTTCCTCGTCAAAAACAGGGAATCGTAGTATAATTTATTTAGCAAATGTCGATAGAATTGCAGCATCTATACTCGAATGTGAACAAATAGAAATGAATTTTGGAACAACAATGTTTCTTTACTAGCTAGTTTGGTGGGGTTTGTGTTGCTCAGTCTTTTGTATGAGTTGGTAAACAGGTCGAATGGTTTTAAAAAGTGAAAGGAACATTGAAAGATTTCAGTTATGGTATGACTTATTTGTATTGAAGTGCAATTATAATCTAATCTAATTTAACGTGCGGGTTTTGTTGCATGATATGCACATTTCTTCATTTACTTTCAAGTCAGAGCCAAACGTAACTAAAATGTAGAAGAATAGAGGATGTTGAAATGCCTTAACGATAAAAAACAACAATGAAATTGATCTTCCTTTGCTTTGGCGTTTGTTAAGTGCGGATCGTGTGTCATAAATAGATACACAAATTATAACTTCTTTTCCATTATATGAAGATCAATATTTGCTGTAATTCTAAGCGAATATCCAAAATCTGAAGTATTTGAAAATTTATCTGTGGCGTTGCTGTAATATTTGTTTCACTTATGTGTCATCAACTTATATACTAGGATAATCTTTAATCATAGTTTGATTTGATTTTGATTTTTGGTGTTTTAACGCCACTTTTAAGCACCGCTTTTGGGCTATTTCGTGGCGGCCAGTTTTTATTGGTGGAGGAAGCCGGAGTGCCCGGAGAAAACCACCGACCTTCGATAGGAAAACTGACAATCCTAGTGAATTAAGATTGGAGTCGAGTGCACCCGCACGAGCGGGGTTCGAACTCACAACCTCAGTGTTGACTGGCTAGTGATTACAGTAGTAACTACTTAGACCACTCGGCCACCGAGGCCCCTTTCATAGTTTGAAAATGTAAATCTAGATGTCATTATCTAATTTACATTCATGAATTTTAAGTTAATTTGGGGTATGCATCAACGGGACAATAATACAACGACATCAATAACAAAAGATACAGAGAGCAATATCAAATCTTCAACAATAGATCGCATATTTCCTTTTTCTCATATCAACAATTGTTAAACATATGATACACGTTGATGGAATAAATGTAATTATATACTAAAGACTATTTGTCTTGTGTTCACTTGTTTTCCGTAGATCTTATTAATAAACCAACTACAACAGAAGGACAGGAGACAACAAATAGTGAATTAAATACGGAAGGGCTCACAACTAGTTTGACAACCACTACTGGCACAGACGAAGCAATATCAGAATCCTCAACGACGAATGAACTTTCAACTACGGAAGAAATGTCGACTGTAGAAGAAACTACCGAAAAGATGTCGACTACCGACACAATATCAACAACAGAGGAAATGTCAACGACAGAAGAGGTGTCTACAACGGAAGAGGTATCAACAACTGAAGAAGTGTCAACAACTGAAGAGTTGTCAACAACAGATGAAGTGTCAACAACTGAAGATGTGTCAACAACCGAAGAGGTTACTACCACAGATGAAGCCACGACTGAGTCAATCTCGACCACAGAGGAAACCACATTAGAAGCGACAACTGAACAAACCACAGAGCAAATGACGACAACAATTGAGCAGACGACAACAGTAGATCCGTTTGCAGCATGCAAAGGTCCTATTACAAAAAGTGAGGAGAATATATATATGTTTACGGTTGGCCTTATACAACAATATCTTTTTTTTAATCCAGCAAATTGATTTCACAAAAAAAAAACATCCAAAACAATGGAATCAGATTTCTTCAGCCTTTAAACTTTCAGTCTCTTTAAAAATAATGTTTTGTAATTCTGTCAACAAACAACATCTTTTTTGTGTGTAAATCACATTAATGACATAAACTGATTGATAAATGAATTAGGTATTGACAATTCACTTGGAAACTCAACATATACCCCGCGACACTTACCAAGGAGGAAACTATGGATAATCATAGGTCTTTTCTATGTTTCTTTGGAATTTCAACCAAAGATAAAAAAAAACTGGATCTACCTTCACTGTATTGGATACCTAAATTACACAAGTTTCCTGGCAAACAACGTTATATTGCTGGATCTTCCGAGTGCTATAAGAAACTTCTTTCTAATTTATTAACATCAATTTTATCAGCAATTAAAGCCGGGCTTTAAAGTTATTTTGATGTGAAACTACCTGTTCTAGAGGCGGCTTTAATCAGCTGTGGATACTCAAAAATTCGACAGATCTGTTATAATACATACAATCTAAGATTCTTTCATCTTGCAACAGTATTAAAGCATTTGACGTTTCTACACTTTACACAATTATTCCCCATTCCAAAGTAAAAGACTAATTGAAAGAGTTGGTCCTGCTTTGTTTCATAAAAAAAGAATGGCCAACGTAGATACAAGTATCTTGTCTTAGGGAGTGATAAATCGTACTTTGTAAAAACTAACTCTGATCAAACAAAATATTCTCTGAAACTGACATTATCAAGATACTTGATTTCTTGATTGACAACATATTTGTTACGTCTAGAGGACGTGTTTTTCAACAAACAATCGGAATTCCATTGGGAACCGATAGTTCCTCTTCTTGTCGACTTGTTCCTTTATTCCATGGCGTTATTAGTTTATTTTCGACTTATGAGTTTTTATGTCCCTTTAGTATCTTTTGCCTCTCTCTCAAAAATGTAATGTACTTCCTAAATGATCAAATATTTTTTACAGAGACTGGACAGTTTTACTTGATGCGTGACAAAGGTCTTCTTAGTTTCATGTCAACATTTAAATTACAATTATCCTCGCCTAAAGTTAAATGGTTAGTTATATTCAACCCAGAGATTGGACTGTGTCAGAACATTTCGATATACAATACTTCACAAGAAATAAATATTCCGACAGAATTCAAAGTCAACAGAAATGAAATTGAAAACAAAGGAATTCATATAATTACATCAAGCAAAACTGATTTAAATGCTATATACAAGGACCCAAGCACCAGTGAAGGCCTTTTTATTTTCCCATTAGAAAAGCTGTCTACAACATATATCGCTCCGTCTTTCACTCCCGCCACTGGAGAATCGTTTATTGGTATCGTTGCAACAAAACCAAACACAGAAGTGAATATAACACTGAAACTACCTAACACTGACAAAATAACTTTTAATAATACAAAGTATGGAAATGGAGAAACAATTTCCGTTCATTTAGGAGAAAGGGGGACCCTTGAACTGTCAAGCCAAACTGATCTCACTGGAACAATTATCCAGGCGAACAAAGATATAGGAGTGCAGTCTGGGGTTGACGCTGCAAAAGTACCTGTAAATAGTGGTTTGATGAATCAGTTATTAGAAATGGTACCGCCAGTTAACGAACTAGGAAAGTCATTTTTCATACCACCATTATTTGAAAACAAAGAATTTATATTACGTTTAATCGCTGCGCATCCAAATACAACAATTACTCTTCTTGGAATAAATTCTAAACAAGCCACCGTTGTGGTAGACCAAATAGGGGATCACATAGATATCCATAGCAACGCCTCTATAAAAGTACAATCTGACAAACCAGTAATGGCAGTTTATTATCAACAAGGAGAAACTAAACCAGTCGTACCTTTTATGGTTATTATTAAACCAGAAGGCAAACTTGGAGGAGTTCAAGAGTTTACCATTCCTGATGACGGGTTAAGACATCATATTCTTATTACCGCTAAGAGTACTGAATACCCCTTTCTTCAGATTGACGGGAAAGGTGTTATTTATAGAAATCCTCATGTGTACGATACACAGAGTTTAAATTCCACATATGTTGTTGCAAGGGCGGACATTGGCACAGGACATCATACCATAAGTTCGTCATACCCGATTCTTATGAAAGTCAAACCTGGAATTATCATCTATGCCGATTCCGACAAGGACATTGCTTATGGTTATCCTGTGTAAAAATTTGTCCAATAATGTAACGTAACACGAAGTTAAGTTTGTATTATATGTAGACTATAATAGTAAATCGTATGGAATACTTAATAGATTTACGTCATATCTTTGAGAAAGAAAAATATCTCTGTAGTTATCCTGCTAACAGGAACGATGCAATTTAATCACAATAATGTAAAGACGTTTATCATTATAATTATAAAGATAACAATTATATTTATGTTTGTTTATTTTCACCGAAATTGAAATGGGACTATTCTTTGAATCTGTATTATTAAGTAATAAAATTGAGAATGGAAACAGGGAATGTGACAACAACCCAACCAAAGTGCAGAAAACAATCCAAGACCACAAATGGTCTTCAACAAAGCGAGAAAATCCCGCACTCGCAGGCGGGCTTGAGCTGGCCCCTTAACAATAATGTATACTAGTTCAGCGAAAATGGACGCCACACATAACTCCAAAACATATAAATGAATCAAAATAAAAAAAAACACACAAGACTAACAGAGGCCAAAGCTTCCTGACTTGGTACAGTTGAAAAAATGCGGCGGGGTTAAACATGTTTTGTGAGATCTCAACCCTCCTCCTATATCTCTAACCAATGTAGAATAAACAAACACACAGCAATACGCACAGTAAAACTCAGTTTAAAAGATGTCCGATGTTAGAATAGATAACAGAAGAAACTAAGCAAAATGAGAGTGATGAACATAAATTAACAAAGGACTACTAGCAGTTACTGACATGCCAATTCCAGACCTCAATTTAACTGATTGAAAGATTATGTCTTTATCATATGCTTGACCTGCACTTGTGTTTTAATTTTTTTCATAAAAAATTTAAAAAAATACCAAGGTGCAACCAACATTTATTAAGGTTCATCATAACAAATGGACAAATATGGCCGTATTTTCACCTCAAAAATTACTCTGTGTACAGACTTACCTGTGCAGTTTGGAAAGTTTTACGGCCTGGCATCCACTAGATATATAAAAGTTAAATTTATTTTTTATATCAGAATCTTTGATTATGATGGGCATTTTTCCGTTCCTACAGAAGGTGTAAAAATAAACTAAGTTGGGATATAACTTTGAGATGCTCCCTCTCAGGTAACAACTGATTTGTATTGTATTGATTGTCCTTGATTGGCATGGACAATAGATATCTACACATCTATAGGTGAGTTAAAGGTACTAACTGAGTGGACAGTATCAAATGCAATTGAGGTGTTTGTTTATTTTTACACCTTCTGCAGGAAGGAAAAAATGCCCATCATATTCAAAAAAAGATTTTATATGCAAAATGAATTTAACTTTTATATATCTATTTGATGCCAGGCCTTAAAACTTTCCAAACTGCACAGGTAAGTCTGTACACAGAGAAGTTTTTGATGTGAAAATACGGCCATATCTGTCCATTTGTTATGATGAACCTTAATTGAAGAAAGACAGGCATCAGCAATGGCAAAAAAGAGGAAAGGACAAACATGTGAACAGTCCATAAAACATAGAAAATTAAAGACTGACCTCTTATGACTGGACTCGGTGCCTCGGAAAGAACGCAGTAAATTTTTACTCTCCTAGAGACATCCGCCATGTCGCTCATGACAGGCAAAAATCCGGAGATAAATCGGATTCGTATGGGAATTTACAAATGAGAAATGCACCGACTCTCTAATAGGAAAAGCAAAACGTTTGACTACTACTAGTATATAACCTAGGAGATATATATCCCATATACACGCAATGCTCGAATGTTGCTACATAAAAATGGAAAGTTCTCAATGGAAAACTGAAGCTATCCTTAGCCGTTAAGATTAATCCTCAGATAACCCTTACTGTAATTTCTGTATATCGAGATACGATCGAATATAACTGTAGATACAGAATCCTTTATTTCAAGTTCAGTGTGGTAATGGCGATGAACATATTTATCAAACTATATGTATGAATCATTTATTGAGAGCGAATCATCTATATGATACAAAATGAAGTTATTATAATGCTAGCTTACTTTCCTTCAGAAGCCCCATTATGAAGTTTTCTCCATACTAATAAATGAACAAGTCGGTAGCAAGAGGAACACATGTCCAATTGGTTCTAATTACTAAAAAATGAACAAGTCAGTAGCAAGAGGAACACATGTCCAATTGGTTCTAATTGGAATGGCTGCTGTCTGTTGATAAAGCGTCTAAAAAACGTATCAAATTTCAGGACTGTTTGGAAAGAATCATAGTGTTTTTAACAAAGTAGGATTTGATAAATAAAAGCAACAGTAGTATAAAGTTAAATCACAAAAATACTGAACTCCGAGGAAAATTCAAAACGGAAAGTCCCTAATCAAATGGCAAAATCAAAAGCACAAACACATCAAACGAATGGACAACAACTGTCATATTCCGGACTTGGTACAATAGTCATAACTCGATTAAGCTAAAACAAATCCGGGCAACAAACCAAAACCGAGGGAAACACATCAACTATAAGAGGAAAACAACGGAACAACAGAAACACTGAACTGCAACAAAAACAAACGCCAACTTACAAAGAAACGGACTATTTGATAACAACTGCCATATTCTTGACTTGGTACAGGACATTTTAAGAAAAAATGGTGGGTTGAACCTGGTTTTATGGCTAGCCAAACCTCCCGCTTATATGGTAATGTTAAAAATACCGCTAAAATGACAACATTACGTGACAGGAATACAGTACAAATAAACGCAAGAACACTCAGGACAGAGAAATACATAAATAAATGATATAATAGTACATTGACCTTAACTAAAATATGATATTGTTATCTTCGTTGGCAGTTTTTATGAATGAAGTACCTTGAAGAACACACATATAAATGGCGTAGAGCAAATTGTTGTATGCTATTGGAAGAATAAAATGTTGTGCTCTAATTAAGACCTTAACACTTTATTTGGTACTCGTCATATGTTGATGACCAGACGATATCTTTCCTTTTTATATATTCCATGGTAGCAGTCCCAATTGCGTTAATATAGATATCCTATAATGAAAATTCAATTTCAAATATGGCTACTGCAAGTTTATGTCTACCTAAAACTATGTCAAATTTATAATAGTGAGTGTTGCATCGTCATTATAACGCAGATCCTTCATGTTATGACGTCACATACCTTTATAATACCAAGTGATATATGGTACAATTGATCAAAGATATAAGCCTGTTACAGAAAAAAGTAAAATAGCAAAAATACCGAACTCCAAGGAAAATTCAAATCGGAAAGTCCCTTATCAAATGGCAAGATCAAAAGCTCAAACACATCAAACGAATGGAAAACAACTGTCTTGTTCCTGACTTGGTACAGACATTTCCTAATGTAGAAAATGGTGGTAATGGAACTTAACTTGTATATAGGTTAATTTATTTTTCATCCAGGTATGACTAAAATACATGTCTTGCCACATTAATAAATTGCAAAAAGCAGACGAATTGAATTTAAATTCATCTCAATACTTGATCACTAATGACAAAAGGTGATGGTTGATTGGTGATTTGCGTCAGTTACAAAAATAACATGCATATCATGACTAGAATGTGTAAATGCGTTTGCAATATTAAAATTGAGAAGATTCTGATGACACAAACGTGCAATTCCTCAGGAATTGACCATGCTCCTCCGACTCCGAGACAATAAATGCATACTTGAAATTTGAATATGAATATAAATGTTTTATGCAATCTGTATTACGATACCACGTTTCTTTGATTATCAAGTGTCAGTAAACCATTGCATTTTATATTCATATCATGACTGGTAAAAGTGTTTTTTTTTTAAATAACTGATCATTGTTTTGTTGATAATATTTGATATGAAATTATTTCGTAACTTGTGATAGAGGAACTTATCTTGTACGTGTTCTCAAAGGTGGAACACCTTTACGCATGTATATTTCTTAGTATTTGGCAAATGTCTTGTCCAGCGCTTTCGCGCTTTGGTTATATTTGTTCTAATGTTGTACTGTTACATCACTGTTCCAGGTTAGGGGAGGATTGAGCGCTCACAATCACGTTCTGTATGTGCCTGTCCCATGTCGTGAGCCTGTAAGTCAATGGTTGTCGTTGGTTTATACATAAATCTGTTCGTTTGTTTTTTCGTTTGATTTGTTATCTAATTTTGTAATGTCGGGCCTTTTATAGCTGACTATATGGTATGGGTTTGCTCAATGTTAATCTATTATAATTTTAAGATAATTACCATAGAATGAAAAAAAAATGTAAAATTTGTCATTTTTAAAGGGCAATAACTCCTATAAAAAGTCGTCTGACAGTTTTGATGTAAATGGACAATGGGTTGTTCTAATAATTCTCAATATTTCTGCCGTACAATTCTCTATTTGTATCGGTTTTCAAGATAATAGACAAAACTTGCATTTTCCCCTGTTTTATTTTTAGTCATGTCGGCCATGTTATTTGGCAGACTAGGTCATCTAATCGACATTTTTTAAAACTAAATACCCAAATGAAGATTGTGACCAACTTTAGTTGGCTCAGTAGTTTCAGAGAAGATTTTTGTAAGAGTTAACGATGACGGACGATGACGGACGCCAAGTGATGAGAAAGCTCACTAAAAAGTTAAAAAATTACTTAAAGTTTTTATTGTGATCTGGTTGCTATCTCGTGGACGTTTACCAAATATTTCTTTTAATACATAAACACATTGCACCTATGGTATAGTATTATTCTTATTACTCAATTTTCTGAAATTTTCTATTCCTTTTTGTTTTTCATGCAAACAGAGTTAAAAGGTATGGATCAAGTACTCAAAACTAGTTTAACCCGGTCATATGTGAGATTGCCTGGCCTAATTTCATGGTTTTTTTCACTGAATATTTAAGTGCTTTGCACTTTAATAACTTAAAAGATGAGTGGTCTCTATCGAATTCAGAACCTCTGTTTAGAATGTGGTGTTGAAAATGGTCTACTTATGGAAATTTAATGCACGTTTTTTATTTCGTTTTCCGTAATTTAATTACATCCGTTTAACAATTATTAACAGCACTGACGTTGGAAACAGAATGCTTTGACGACTTTTCTCCCAGCAAGACAAAATGATAGAATAGAATACGAAACGGGGAATGTGTCAAAAGGACAACAACCCGACCAAAGAGTAACAAAAGTGCACACGCTGAAATGTCTCGCCTGTTTTACTAACCATTGATTTTATGTTGAAAGTCTTAAAGATAAAGGTTTTACTACAAGTATCACATAAACTTAACTTTAATAAAGATCCATGACAATGAGGTCAAGGTCAGATAAAAACTGTCACACAGACAGGTACACCTTTCAATTATTCCATACACCAAATATAGTTGACCTATTGCTTATGGCGATTGAAAAACAGATCAAAACACAAAAATTTAGCGTTGTCCAATGAACCATGGAAATGAGGTCATGGTCAGATGATACTGGCTAGATAGACATGTACACCTTACCATCATTCAATACACCAATTATAGTTGACCTATTGATATTAGTCTTTGATAAACAGACCAAAACACAAAAATTAACATTGACCAATGAACCATGAAAATGAGGTCAGGGTCAGATGAAACCTGCTAGACAGACATGTACACCTTACAATCATTCCATACACCAATTATAGTTGACCTATTGCTATTAGTATTTGAAAAACAGACCAAAACAAAAAAACTTAACATTGACCAATGAACCATGAAAATGAGGTCAAGGTCAGATGACACCCACAAGACAGACATGTACACCTTACAATCATTCCATACACCAATTATAGTTGACCTATTGCTATTATTATTTGAAAAACAGACCAAAACAAAAAAACTTAACATTGACCAATTAACCATGAAAATGAGGTCAGGGTTAGATGACACCCGCCAGACAGACATGTACACCTTACAATCATTCCATACACCAAATATAGTTGACCTATTGCTTACAAGATTTGAAAAACAGACCAAAACACCAACGAGAGGCTGTCAGAGCGACATCAAACAGGATTTTTTTTAATTTATTTGTGTCCTAACAATCATCAATATTGAACTTGACCTCCATTTTGTCATCAGTAACAACATATTAAAATTTGAAAAGCTTTGGTTGAAAGGTTCATGAGTTAAAGCACGGACACGACTGGAAAGACCATTTTTCAATCTTTCAAGAACCATAACTCCTGAACGGTGAAAGTGAAAATCGTCAATATTGAACTTGACCTCCATTTTGTCATTAGTAACAACATATTAAAATTTAAAAAGCTTTGGTTTAACGGTTCATGAGTAAATGCACGGACACAACTTGAAAGACAATTTTTCAATCTTTCAAGAACCATAACTCCTGAACGGTGAAAGTGAAAATCGTCAATATTGAACTTGACCTCCAATATGTCATCAGTAACAAGATATTAAAATCTGAAAAGCTTCGGTTGAACGGTTCATGAGTAAATGCACGGACACTGTTTGGCAGCCGCCCGCCGTACATCTCCAAATCAATAATCGATTTTTCCTTCGGAAATCCGGTTTAAAATTAACAAAGACCAATGAACCATGAAAATGAGGTCAAGAAAAGGCAACAGTAGTATACCGCTGTTCGAAATTCATAAATCGATTGAGAAAAAAAACCAAATCCGGGTTACAAACTAAAACTGAGGAAAACACATCAAATATAAGAGAACTACGACACAACAGAATCACAACATTAAAATGTAAAACACACAGAAACGAACTATTATATAACAATGGCCATTTTCCTGACTTGGAACAGAACATTTTAAGAAAAAAATGGTGGGTTGAACCTGGTTTTGTGCCTAGCCAAACCTCCAAAGCTCAGATGAAACCTGCCATTCTGACATGTACCCCTTACAATCATTCCATACACCACATATAGTTGACCTGCTGCTTGTAGTATCTGAGAACCGGACCTAATCATGTAACTTTAACCTTAATCACTGATCCATGATGAATTGAGGTCAAGGTCAGGTTAACCCTGTCTGATGGACATGTAGATGTTGCAAGGAACCCATATACCAAATACAGTTATCCTATTACTCATAATAAGTGAGAAATTAACATGACAAAAAAACTAATTTTTTTTCTAGTCACTGAACCATGAAAATTAGGTCAAGGACAATGGGCATATAACAGACGGAAACTTCGTAACACAAGGTATGAAGCATCCAGGTCTTCTACCTTCTGAAATATAAGGCTTTATACAAATAGTTTATGCCACCGCCGGATAGTAATACCTATGTCTCGCATACTGCAACTTTTGTCGCAGGCAAGACATAAAAAAAAACAGCCCAGGGCCATCAATGGTTCTTCAACGCAGTGAGAAAATCCCTATCACTCAAATAAACCCAAACTTTCAATATAAACATGTATCGTATCATTTTTCAGTAGGACAACCCTACTAGTTTTGAAATAAACTATCTCGCTGCGTTGAAGACCCATTGGTGGCCTTGGGCTGTTTTCTGCTCTTTTGTCAGGTTGTCGTCTCTTTGACACATTTCCCGTTTAGATTCTCAATTCTAATTGTTAGGTTTGTATTTGGATGTACCAATATTTAAAACTCTATGTTTGCTCTTACAACTTGCAACTGTCATACAAGCGAGAGGTTTAGCTAGCTATAAAACCAGGTTTAATCCACCATTTTCTACATAAGGAAATGCCTGTACCAAGTCAGGAATATGACAGTTGTTTTCAATTCGTTTGATGTGTTTGAGATTTTGATTTTGCCAATTTGATAATGGAATTTCCGATTTGAATTTTCCTTGGAGTTCAGTAATTTTGTTATTTTACTTTTTCACCTAATACAGAATTGGTTTGACCTGGCATTGAAACAAAGTCTGTATAATTTTTCTGATTTTTGTGTCATTGGATTGCTGTCTCATTGATTATACCCACAGCTTATATTCATATCTCAAATCGCTTCAGTTCAAAAAGACAGATGTATCTAATGCATATGAATGATAACAAGCATTCTGTGAGTATTGCATGGCAATACATAGTCCCCTACCAGTAAAAAATTCATTGTATTGGAACAAAAGTCTAACTTGATCTATTACTTGTCATGGTGTAAACTATATAACAAATATCAAGTCAATATCTTCAAGCATGACTTAAAAAAAGTGTTGAAACTGATTTTTTAAGTGAATTTTCTAAGTCCAAGGACCATAACCTTGCACAAAATCATCAGACGGGAACAAAATTCAAACTTCAACTGTAACTTGTCATGATAAACTATATACCAATTATCAAATCAATATCTTCAAGAATGACAAAAAAAAGTGCAGAAAACTGATTATTTTAGTGAATTTTCTAGGTCAAAGGACCATAACTCTGCACAAAATCATCAAACCGGAACAAAATTCAAACTTGATCTGTAACTTGTCATGATAAAACAATACACCAAATATCAAATCAATATCTTCAAGCATGAAGAAAAGAGTGTGGAAAACTGATTTGAAGGACTGACAGACAGACAGACAGACAGACAGATGGACGGAGTGCAAACCTAAAGTCCCCTTCGACCTCTTCGATAGGGGACTAGTAACATTAAATGTACCAATTTCTATATTGCACCAGTTGGGCTTTTCAACAAATATGTCTCTTCAGTGATGCTCTAGACCAAATGATTTGAAAATCCAAAATTTATTAAAAATTTGAAGACCTGATTAAACCAAAAACTACAAAAAATATAGCCAAAGCTGGGCAAGGAATCGGAGCATTGCATGAGGGAGATGTATCATATAGATAATATAAGCTATCTTTTGTACTGCCTAGGTAGTCAAAACTATCAACAATGGTCAAAATAGGCTAAAAAAGACAATAGATATAAGAAGATGTGGTATGAGTGCCAATGAGACAACTTTCCATCCAAGTAACAATTTATAAAAGTAAACCATTATAGGTCAAGGTACGGCCTTCAACACGAAGCATTGGCTCACACTGAACAGCAAGCTATAAAGGGCCCAAAAAATGACTAGTGTAAAACCATTCAAACGGGAAAACCAACGGTCTAATCTATATAAAAATGAGAAACGAGAAACACATATGAACTATTTGCAGCGGGATTAAACGTTTTAATGGTACCAAATATTCACCCTTTTCTGAAACAATAGTACAACATCACAACATAGAAAGACACACTATAAAATATTAAAGTTTGATATTTTAATGTAATTATATCAACAATGCAACACAAACTGGATTAACAATGAAATTCAACTAATAGTAAGGTAATTATGAGTGAATACAAATTTCAAAAGTCAATTTATCCTTCCGTCTTTTTTCCATTCATGTATTTAAAACAATGAAACAATTGACGTCTTTTCTAAGAACTTTCATTATAACAACAAATTACCTTTTATTTCTTACATTAAAAATATAAAGTATGCAATGAACACCATTTAAAAAAAATGCAAATACTGAATCATACAATTTGTTTCAAAATCAAATTTAACAAATATAATATAATGGTTTAATTTGGAAAATGAAGGAAAAACAGATAAAACTTTTTATTTTTCACTCTATTCGGTCCTGACTTTTTTTTTTTACATAAATTGTCATCCTGCCTTTTTTTTTGCAAAGTGTCTCATCCTGCCTTTTTTTTTTATTCAAAACTCCTGTCCTGCCTATTTTTTTCAAATTTCATCCTAGCCCTCCCCCCCCCCCCCCCCCCCCCCCATAAAAATCAAATGGTATCTCCCTTACTTGAAACTTTCACCATTGACAGCTACATAATCATTCAAAAATACTGATATCAAAAATCTTTTAGAATATAGCTATTCATTAGCTCTCGATACACAAAGGTTCAAATATATCAAGCAAGAATTTGTCATAGTTGTCAAAACTCAAGTCAAAGGACTGGTGTACCAATAAAGTTTTTTTTTCTATTCAATTCAAAACATCCTGACTTTAAACAAAACTACCAAGTGCTTACTGAACATCACATATACAAATATACCATCTACTTTTCATAGAAAAAGAAGGCATTGTTAGAAAAATAGCCCGAATATCCAAGAATATAAAGAATGAAATTGATTTTATAATAACTTTTCTTCATAAAAATAATTATGCATATTACATACATAAATATTTCAACATGTACAGTACATACGCATAATATATACAAAATTTTAAAATGCAAACCGTTAACTCAACAAAGAAAAACAGCTTTCACTGTATAACTTACATAACCGACCGTGGGAGACTCACGTGGGTAGTCAAGGTCATTTGTAGAAGTCACTCACATAAAACGTAAGTCATATGTATAATCACAATAAAACTTGATACAACTACCAACATGACCAACAAAAACGCTTATTATGTAAAATTCTCATAAAAAATTACTTTGCGATTAAATTTATCTGTGATTACATGATTTCTGATTATGTATTGACTAGAAGCCAAAAATATGCTGAGGAAACATGATTTTCATTATTTACGTTTAAAAGTTCAAGGGGGAGTTGGGAGAATTTCTTGTGGATAATAAAAAATTTTTAAAACATGAAAACATATTTGAGTGTATCCTAAATACTAAAAATAGATCGTTATATCAGTCGTTTCCTAAATAAGGAATTCATTAAATTTCACATCAAAATTGAAGAACTTGTGTTTTGTAAATACATGTAAAAATATTTATTTATGTCATTAAAGTTGCTCTTTTTCAAAATTACTTTAAATGCTAAAATGAGCACGATACTATTTTCGTAAAAATTTATATAACAATCCCATTTCAGTATTGCTATTTATAAATATACAATGTTATCTTTGTACAATACAAACCAGGTGATTTATCTCCTGCTAGTGTTCAATGAACTATTCTTTAAAAAGTGGTCACTCCTGACATACTGCGACAACACTCTAATTTAACATCTTATAGTAAGGGAGCTACCATTTGATTTTTATGGGCGGGGGGCAAGGATGAAATTTGAAAAAAATAGGCAGGACAGGAGTTTTGACAATTAATGTAAAAAAAAAAAAAGGCAGGACCGAATAGAGTGAAAAATAAAAACGCAGGACAGAGACTAAAAATTAAAAAAAATGCAGGACAAAAATTTTTCATCCTAGCCCCCCCATAAATATCAAATGGTAGCTCCCATTATTACATATCAACTAACCGGAATTATTCAATGCACTACTATATATACCAATAAAAAAATTAAGGTAGACATTTTGAGGCATTGAAAATAGGGTTGTATTGGCAACCCTAAACACTAGTAGTTTTGTTTTTGGCCTTACACAAAGCTTTATTTCAGTTTAAAACAAAATGTCTATAAAGTCTAATTCTTTCAAGTATCCCTAATAAATGCTGTAAAAACTTCATATCAGTTTTATGGCAAGTAAACAGTCTAATTATCTTCTGGTATCACCACATACACTACTTCCTTCATATCAGTTTTATGAAAGGATAACAGTCTGATTATCTTCTGGTATCACCACATACACCACTTCCTCACCATTCTCCATTCCTTCATAAATGATCCCTTCTGGCAAGTTAATAGTAGTAGTTCCATCAAACAGAGTTGTTCCCCCTGAGGCAGTGATTTCTCCCGACTCTGAATCAAACTGAATATGCTGAACAGCATTAGAAGAGTCTCCTTCTGATGTCTGTATCTCGTATGACCCTGGGACATTCTGTGTTGTTTCTATGACTTCCTCGTTAGCTGCTGGCTGGGACATGCTGTTAACTGCGATTTCACTGAAGTTACGAAGCGTATCATCTTCAACAATGACATGAGTTGTAGTAGCTTCATCATCTGGATGCAACTCAACGATCTGAAACTTTGGAGTTTGAGGCTCTGGCCGTTGTATAATTCGGATGTTATTCTCAATATAACTATCTGTATCTGGATTTGACGGGTCGTCATGAATTTGTTTAATGTGACGATTGAGTTTTGTCTTCTCTAAGAACCCTTTATTGCAGATTTTACACTGGTATCTATACACGCCCTCATGAGAATCAAGATGACTTTGAAGTTTGAACTTTAACCTGAAACCTTTACCACAAATGTGACAGATATGGGGCGTGATACCTGTATGAATATAGGTGTGAAATTTCATCCTCTCCTTCGACACAAATCCCTGTCCGCAATAACTGCACTTAAATGGCCGTTCTCCAGTATGTAACCTCCGATGTGTCTGCAGCGCCCCCATCTGAATAAATGCTCGATTACAAATGTCACAGACGTACGGTTTCTCACCCGTGTGTCTCCTCCTGTGGCATTTCAATATGTTTGGCTGTGAGAATCCGATGCCACAGAATTCACACTTGTATGGTTTGTCCTTTGAGTGGATTCTCTGATGTTTCTGCAGGTCAGCATTCTCAAAGAATTTTTTACCACATTCATCACACTCAAAGTTACGTATCTGAGTATGGAGGAACGTGTGACGATTTAGATGTGACAGCTGGATAAAGGCCTTCCCACATATCTTGCAAGAGTAAGGTCTTTCACCTGAAACATATATGTATAATTTTGAAAAGTAAATTGATGGATTTTTTCATTTTCAAAACTAGCATATCTTTGATGTAAACTGAAAAAAAAATCAAATATATAAAAAAAAAAAAAAAAAAAAACTTTTTTATAATATAGAAGAAAAACATTTAAAATTCTGTAAAAACGAATTTAAGTACCTAAGTTAAGTGAGTAAACTCTCATTCCCCATTCCAAGCCACCATATAAAAGGAAAATCTATGGCATAGTTTTTTTCTGTATTCTTTAAGGTATAATTCTTTTCAGGTATGATTTCATATGGTAAAATTGTCTTACACAAATTTATTTAAGTAACTTTGACCTTGACCTTAGACCCAGTGAGAGATCTTCTACTTAACATATGTGACCATATATAAAAGTAAAGAAGCAATCCCACATGTAGCATTTGATTTTGCATCTGAATCATTTTTTTCTGCACATATTTCAGTCTTTATTTAGTAACAACAACCTTGACCTTTAATTTGGAGACCTGAAAATAATTAGGGATATTCATCTCAATATATGCGACCATGTATCCAAGTAAAGGTTGCAATCTGATATAAACAACTGATGGACTGACTGATAGGTAAATAAATGGGGAATGTGTATGCCCCTGCTTGCATATAACGTTATAAAGGGCCATAACTCAAGAACTGTAAAAGTGACACTACCCAAATTTGAACTTGATCTGAGTTTTGTGGTAGTTAACATTGTTTATAAGTTTCAAAACATTAAGTTGACGTAAACTTAAAATTAGAGAACGGAAACAAAAAATTCAGCAATTTTTCCATTTTTAAAGGGGTATAACTCTAGAACAGTAAAAGTGACGCCAACAAAATTCAATCTTTATCTGTGTTTTGTGGTAATTAGCATTGTGCATAAGTTTCATAAAATTTGGTTGAGGCAAACTAAAGTTAGAGAACAGAAACAAATATTTCAGCAATTTTGAGATTTGTAAAGGGCATAACTCTAGAATGGTAAATGTGACACCAACAAAATTCATACTTAATCTGTGTTTTGTGGTAATAAACATTGTGGATAAGTTTCGTAAAATTTGGTTGAGGCAAACTAAAGTTAGAGAACAAAAACTAATATTTCAGCAATTTTTCCATTTGTAAAGGAGCATAACTCTAAAACAGTAAAAGTGACGTCACCAAAATTCAAACTTGATCTGTGTTTTGTGGTAATAAACATTGTGGATAAGTTTTATAAGATTTGATTGAGGCAAACTAAAGTTAGAGAACGGAAACGAAAAATTCAGCAATTTTTCCTTTGGTACAGGGGCATAACTCTCGAACGGTAAAAGTGATGCCACCAAAATTCAAACTCAATCTGTGTTTTGTGGTAATAAGCATTGTGGATAAGTTTCATATAAGGGTAAAACTTAATGCCCCCTCCGTTACGGCTGGGGCATAAAAATATACCTTGCTACAGGGAATATTTATAGCCCTGCTCCCTGGAAATTTTATCAAGATATTATACATGTATGATTAATATTGAAATTGTTAATGTGTAAATCATTGTAGATTATATTTGTTTTTTCAGGGGTTCAAATTAGCGGTGGTCTGAGGTCTGTGACCTTCCACTGTTGCAATCGGACTTTCGTTTTGGTAACTATCTACGCCCGACGGACCTTCGATTTGAAAGGAAATAAAAATTAACTTTGCCGACCTTTTTAACCATCAGTATCGTCATTTCAAAGCCATATTATTATCGAGATGATAAAATGTTTCATCCCTGACCTATACCGAGTCGACGAGAGATAAAAGTTATTTTTACCTTGTATTTCTTGGAAACACTAGGTTATAAATAGTTGCGATAAGTCACGTGACAAATCATTTAGACATTTTCGAACAAAATGAGTGTTTCTCTTTGGTGTCACGTCTTCCAAGAGAAAGCCTGATGATGAATGGTCTTCTGCGTCTTCATTGGGAACAAAACAAAAGAAATCAAATAAAGATCTCACTGAAGACCGAAAATACGATCATGAAAAACGGGAACGGAAATTTAAGCCCCACTGGAAAATCGATCGACCGTGGCTATATTTAATGAATCAACTGGTCTAATCGGTCGTATTCATACTGCCAGAAGTTCCCAACACATTCAGAAAAAGAAAGTGCACTTGTAAGAGGAACATAAAATCTTAAAATAGACCAATAAAAATACACGAAGTGACACCCCAGCATTTATCTTGTTTAAAGCAGTGGATCTATGAAAGAGATCCAAATTTTAAGTCTAAAGATTTATTGTCAGACACTAAACTTGGACAATGTATTCTCAAGCAGCAATGTAAGCCTGATCAGTTAAATAGATATAAGGTTCTCTTCAACACTGCATACAGTGTTGCAAAAAAAGGGAAACCCTACAGTGACTATGAATTTGTTCTTGAAGTCCAGAGCAAAAATGGTGTTGATGTTGGTAAGCAGTCCTTCAATATTGAAGGTTGTAAACTGTTTATTCGCTGGATAGCCAATTATATTAGAAACGAGATGATATGTTATATAGATATAAGAAGATGTGGTATGAGTGGCAATATACCACAGTGACACTGACAGTTTGGTGCTATATGGTTGCCTGGCAATATATTTGTAAACTTAACAAAACATTACATGCAGTTCAAATATGATGAAACAAGCTAACCTAACACCAAAAGCACATTAATTTTGTATCTTAATGATTTATGAAATATTTCATGTAAAAATAGGACCTGGGATTTAGGTTGTGGACCTTTCAGTTTGGAGTGTCAAAGGTCCTGGACCTTCCAGTACCAAATGTTAATTTGAACCCCTGTTTTTTGTTTATTGTTTTTTTTTAATTTTATATAAATAATGCCGTTTATTTTTCTCGTTTGAATTGTTTTACAATTGTCATGTCTGGGTTTTGTATAGCTTGCTATGCAGTATGGGTTTTTGCTCATTGATGAAGCCACTATGGTAAACTATAGTTGCTAATTTCTACTTCATTTTATCTCTGATGGAAAGTTGTCTCATTGGCAATCATACCACATTTCTTATTTTCATATTACATGACTTAAAGGACATCTGAACTTATTTAATGAATTTCAAATCCTTTGAAGGATTTTAATAGACTATGCAAACCATGTTAAATCATTGATCACATTTAAATGTATTTTTTGGACTTTAAGGCATCACTCAATCCTGTGACCCCTCCCCCTAATTCTGTCCTGTTACCCCTTCCCTCTCTCCATCCTGTAACCATCTATCTAATTCTGTCCTGTAACCCCCTAACCTCAATCCTGTAACCCCTATCCCTCTCTCCATCCTGACACCCCTCCTCCTATCTCAATCCTGACACCCATCCCCTATTTCTGTCCTGCAATCTGTATACTCATCACTATGTATCTCTGATAATTCTGAAGACTTCTTTTCTCTGTAAACCCTCCCCCTAATTCTGTCCTGTAACCCCTCCCCTTAATTCTGTCCTGTTACCTGTTTACTCACCACTATGTATTCTCTGATGATTCTGGAGACTTCTTTTCTCTGTAAACCCTCCCCCTTATTCTGTCCTGTAACCCCTCCCCCTATTTCTGTCCTGTTATCTGTTTACTCACCACTATGTATCTCTGATGATTCTGAAGACTTCTTTTCTCTGTAAACCCTTTCCTTTATTCTGTCCATTACCCCCTCCCCCTTATTCTGTCCTGTAACCCCCCCCCCCCTTTAATTCTGTCCTGTTATCTGTTTACTCACCACTATGTATTCTCTGATGATTCTGAAGACTTCTTTTCTCTGTAAACCCTTTCCCACATTCCTCACACTTAAATGGTCTTTCACCTGTTGAACAAAAAAACAATGATTAAATTCACCAGAGCTGCATTTTTATCATTTTATTGTCCCTGAATCTTCCTTAAACATGTTAAAAATCAAACGATTCTATCTTCATAGTAAAATAAGCAAAAACAACCCCCTAGCAAAAATGTTCTACTAATAACAAAATTCTTGAAGTATTGCTGAGTACAACACAGCTTTTGAATCATAGGTTTCACGAGGTAAAGTTGAAGTCATCTCTTCAAGAGTAACACAACCGGTGCAATATGTGGAGCAGGAACTGCTTTCCCTTCTAGAGCACCAGAGTTAACCTTTTATTTTCGGTGTAGTTTGTGTTGCTCAGTCTTTAGTTTTCTATGTTGTGTTTTGTGTACTATTGTTTGTCTGTTGGTCATTTTCTTGTTTAGCCATGGCATTGTTAGTTTATTTTTGACTTATGAGTTTGAATGTCCCTCTGGTATCTTTCATATCTCTTTTTCAGTCTTTACATTCCTACAGTGTTTTGTCTTTTCATTTTTTTTTGTCATTATGTTTTTTTCTTCGACTTATGATGTGAAATATCAACAAGCAGTGGTATATACCCAGTGGTTGTATAATCTCTTAAAAATACCAGACTTTTAATTCTGTAGGCAAGACATGCATATCTTCTATCCAATACTTATACATGATCCTAGAATAAGGATAATGCTCAGTTTAAGAATAAACATTATAATTCCTAATGAATTGTAAATTGTTTTGTTTTAAATTAGACTGTTCGTTTTCTCAATTGAATTGTTTCATATTTTCATGTCTGGGCCTTTTATAGTCAACTATACGGTATAGGTTTTTCTCATTGTTGAAGGCCGTACGATTGCCTATAATTGCTTACATCCACTTCATTTGAACTTTGGCGGCTAGTTGTCTCATAATCATACCAAATTGTCTTATTTTTATATAATAAAAATTTATCTTGTTAATTTATGTTGAGTTTATACAAACCTGTGTGCTTGATCAAATGTCTCTTACGATGACCATTACTATAGAACACCTTGTCACAGAATGGACATGGGTACTCCTTCCTGTTGCCGTCCTCCTCGGCTGTCTTGTGGATAAACCTGATGTGTTTCCGTAGTGTGTCAGGATCCTTGTAGGCCTTGGCACAATACGAGCACTGATAACATCTAACAGTCGAATGAGTCATGATGTGTCTTTTCAAATGAGCCTGTGAAAAATAGTACAAGTCAATAAAAATCAAAGTCCATTAATAAAGTGGATAATGGGATTCAGTAGCTAAAATTGCTCACCAGTCAAAAATGTATCATGTAATGCTGATCATTTTTATTGTTTACAGTTTCAAGTTTCTACCTATGATCTATAATAGTTTTCTAAATTAACATGATTAAAGGTAACTCCAATTTTTAAGTAAAGTTGTCATTAGTGCAACATCACTTGTCACATGATAACAAAATAGTAATTTAGGGCAATAACTCCTATTAAAGTCAGTACATGTATATCCTTTCAGTCATATTTGCATTGTAGATCTTTTTATTGATGATCATTTATGCTGTTTTAATTCAAGTTCTGTCTATTATAGTTTTCAATATATTGGCAAAAATATAGCGGACTGTACGGTATGGAACTTGCTCCTTGTTAAAAGCTGTCAGTGGCCTATAGTTTCTTACGTCCACATCATTTGGACTCTGGTTGAAAGTGGTCTCCTTAATTTTATAAAATGCAAAAAATCATCATCTAAGAACAATAACTGTGCTAACAATTTAATCTAAAACTCAAAATTTTCTAATATAATGATGGATAAAATCCAGGAAATATTTGTAATTTGACAATGACTGAAATGTTTATAACAATTATCAACAGTTATCTTTAACATGTTTTTTTAAGTTTTTCAATGAAACTGACAGGCGAAGAAAATAACTTTTTCTTCCAATGTAAAACTCTCGGAAAATTTATTGCATATTTTCTATGTTTTTTTTTAAACCTTTGTGATCTTTGTTTCATTTAAAAGAGCTGATGGTTTGTTCTTTATGATATCTATGATTAAAGTAATTTCCTTAATTCTAAAACTTCATTGCTGGCCAATAAAATAACTTAAGTAAAATCTCCCATTGTTCACTTACAAGTCAGTCAGGGGTACTACTTGTACAAGTAATCTTTATTTATTGAAGAAGTAAATAAAATATACTTATATAATCTTTCAATCAGTTTAATTGAGGTCTGGAGCTGGCATGTCAGTAACTGCTAGTAGTCTGTTGTTATTTATGTATTATTGTCATTTTGTTTATTTTCTTTTGTTTCCTATTCTGACATCGGACTCGGACTTCTCTCATACTGAGTTTTACTGTGCGTACTGTTGTGCGTTTGTTTTTTCTACATTGGCTAGAGGTATAGGGGGAGGGTTGAGATCTCAAAAAACATGTTTTAAACCCCGCCGCATTTTTGCGCCTGTCCCAAGTCAGGAGCCTCTGGCCTTTGTTAGTCTTGTATCATTTTTAATTTTAGTTTCCTGTGTATAATTTGGAGTTTAGTATGACGTCCATTATCACTGAACTAGTATACTTATTTGTTTAGGGGCCAGCTGAAGGACACCTCAGGGTGCGGGAGTTTCTCGCTGCATTGAAGACCCATTGGTGGCCTTCGGCTGTTGTCTGCTCTATGGTCGGGTTGTTGTCTCTTTGACACATTCCCCATTTCCATTCTCAATTTTATTATGTAGTTAATTATAATGTTTGAATAATCTCTCCTTAATTTTCTCAAAAATTTACTTGTACAAGTAATTTTTTTTTACAATCCCACTAAAATTCTCAAGTTTTGAGATGTAAAATCATGCCTTTAACAATTTTTCTCAGGTTAGCTCATAATTTTTTATAAGAGTTCAATGTTTCATCTCATTAATTCAACAAAGAAACTGATTGCGCAAAGATCTTAAGTATTTGCTCAAGGCCGTCAAAAATTGGTCCTTGGGGGCTTGTAAACGAGCAGTGTTCTGAAGATAACAGACAAATGAGATTTGCATTGTCCATGAAATTACACTTAAATGATACGTAAAGACATCTGCAAAGGACAGACAATTCAAAATTCTGTTAGAGCAAAGAAGTTCTACATGTTCTAAGAATTCAAGAAAAGAGGATAGGATGACTTTTTTACTTGTATAAGTAAAAAATCTGAATGTCTAAGGGACATAACTAGGCCTAAAAATTATTTACCTCTACAAGTAAATAAAATACACTTGTATAAGTATCCTACAAATTTACTTATATAAATATATTAATATTTACTTCTTCAAGTAAATAAAAATTACTTGTACAAGTAGTATCCCTGACTGCAAGTATGTTGTCTAATACTGGTACTGCTTTTCAATTGTTGCCAGTGAGCTAATAAGAGACTGGATATTGATTAGATTAGAAAATACTAGTTCATGAATGCTTTTTTAAATCCCTTTGTATATGTACATGTTATCATATGTATGAATTCTGTTTTTTTCCTGAATTATTACAACTGAAATCCGCACCACCAAATGAAATCATTTTTCTTTTGGAACAAAACGTATGAATTGAGACACATCTATGAGGGTGTGGATGGGGTTACAGAATAGAGAATAGGACAAAATGTGCAGAATATAAGGCAAAAATAGAATAGAGAATATTGGGGTGCTAAAATATAAAAAATACAGATTAACAGGCAAAATTTATAAAGAATAGAGAAAATGGCTTATAAAATTAAAGAATACAGAATTGAAGGACCCCCCCCCCCCCTCCCCATCCCTCCAGACCCTCAGCGACATGTACACAGCATTACCTGTTTGAAGAATCGTTTTGGACACTGGTCACATTGGAATATTCTATCCTCAGCATCTGTATGGGTCCTTATATGCTGTTGGTATTCATGCAGATTGTCAAATGTTTTATCGCAATATCTACAATTATAAACCTTGTCCATGACTTCTGGAGCAGTGTGGCGCTGTTTATGCTTCTGCAGGTATTTAGCTAAGGCAAAACCTTTTCCACAGTCGTCGCACAAAAATGGCTTGGCCTCGTTGTGGGTCTTTTCATGTTCTTTCAAGGCATATAGAAACCTGAACGATTTCTCGCAATGCTCACACTGGTGTTGTCGTTCAGAGTGGACCGAGTCCTTGTGACGGACAAGCTTCTTCTGTGTTGGAAACTTTGACTGGCAAGTAGGGCATTCGAATGGACGCTCTTCCGAATGTTTCTCTTCCAAATGAGCATCCAGCATGAACTGAGTAGTGAAATGAGTTTGACAAAACTTACACGTCTTCAAGTCTGCTTCATTGTTACTGGCTAGAAGTTCTTCTTCCGAAGAAATAATTTTCCCACGAGCAGCCTTGATGAAAGAATGGACTCTCATCATGTGCTGTTGGAGGTCATATTTTCTCATGAATCTTTTAGAGCAGACCTCACAAGTGAATTTTTTATTTCCTGTATGGGTGACAAGGTGGTTTCTCATGTATTTAGAATTTTTGAATTTCATGAAGCAAATGCCACATTCAGCTGATTCTAAATCGACCATGGACTCAATAACTGAAATATCTACCAGTGCTTCTTCATCATCGTTGTAAATAACAGCTGCCACTTCACCATCTTCATCTAGGTCAATACCTTCAGCCGATTCTTCTTGTTTAATCACTCTTACCTCCATCATCTCGTCCTCCTCCTCATCAATTTCCTCATCTTTCACGGCGACGGAAACTAGACTTTCAAATATCTTCAGCTGAACTGGATCCAATTCAACGTTCTCCTCTTTTGCTTTCTCCATTGTTTTCTTAGCAGCTTCAGATAACAGGGATAAAGCATTCTTTGGCGGCTTTTTCGGTCTGTACGAACTCTTGGACTTTGTACCAGATGCAGCTGGTGTACCTATTGATCTTCTGATCCTCTTTGCCAGAGGAGTCCATGTTTCATCATCAGAAATCTTACGTTTACCATCCAAAGCTCCGTCATCTAAAATCTCCTCATCTTCCTCATGTTCCTCATCATCATCTGCTTCTTTCACCTAAAACAAAATTATCAAAATACACTACAGATTCAAATAAATTTTTGCACCTGTCCCAAGTCAGGAGCCTCTGGCCTTTGTTGAGGGGCCTGATGGGGGGGGTCTCATCACGATTCACGAGTTGATTTTTTTGTCAATCACGATTCACAGAAAATAAATTTCCATGATCACGATTCACAGAAAATAAATTTCCATGATCACGGATCACGAAAATATAAAAAAAAAAAAAATCTGTAGAAAAACGGATCACGATAGCGAAAATGCGCCGATCACGAAGAACCAAAATAACCCATCAGGCTCCTCTTTGTTGGTCTTGTATGTTTTTTTTAATTTTAGTTCATTTATATGTTTTGGAGTTTAGTGTGACGTCCATTTTTTACTGAACTAGCACACAATTTTATTTAGGGGCCAGCTGAGGACCACCTTCGGGTGCGGGATTTTCTCGCTGCATTGAAGATCTATTGGTGGCCTTCGGCTGTTGTCTGCTCTTTGGCTGGGTTGTTGTCTCTTTGACATATTCCCCATTTCCATTCTCAATTTTATTAGAAAGCCATAGGGTGACCTATAGTTTATGTCATTTGGTCTCTTCTGGAGAGTTGTCTCATTGGCAATCATACCACATCTTCTTATTTCTATATTTGTCATTTCCATCTGTCCACAGTTGGAATGGACACAGACTGGACAAAACTTCTATTCACTGTGTTCATTGCAATTTCTTTTGTTTTCTTTATAAAACTTTCACATGCAACAACATGGAAAAATTATAATGAAGTACAAGCTTTTGTGTTAAAAAATTCTGCGAAATACTGTAAATTCTGATATATATCTAATTTGCAACATTTTTTATTAGTGCAAAAATTAAAGTGGCATTTCAAAATTTCATAGTATTATCTGTATGCAGCATTTCCTGAAATAAATTTTCTCTAATTTTCATGCTATTTTCACATTTCTCAATCAGTGTGAGAAAAATATTTCTCATCTCTAGAGAAAACTTTGTTCTAAGCACATGATTGTTCGAAATTCAATTATGACATCAAATTGTCTTGGTTTCTCCTGAATTTCCTATTGTGACGTCATGAAAAGAGGCAACCATGCCTAATGATGTCACATAAAAAAAACACAACTTTCTGCAAATTTTTTAAATGGAAGGATAAACATTGCTAAGATATTGTCACATTTATTCACAACTTTATTCAAGAATTGATGATATAAACTTTGACATACATGTAATTAGACAATGTGAGCGAAAGTTTGACGACTTCTAGATGTTTTTTTTTTTAAATTTTTTAGTGTCGTTTGGTATCTGTCTCGTCAAATATATACCATGTATACCTAATCATGCTAATACCTTCTTTTATTTATAATAAAAAAATGTTAAATTTTACCATGAGAGCAAAATTGTATAATGCATTTTCAATATCTATTTATACTACTTGTAAAAGAACTAACCTCGCCTTCCTCTTTCTCCTCCTGATTCTTATGTTCTTCAGTCTCCGCCCCTTCATCACTCTGATCAACATCCATTTTTTCTTCAGTTGCATTTACTACAGAGCTACTTCGCTCAGCAGTATCCTCCACTTGCTCTTGTGGCAAGTCCATTATCCCTAAGCTCTCCTGTAACACTGCTATCTTCTCTGCACTTGCCTCTAATTCTACTACCTGTTCAGCATTTTCACTATTCTCCACTTTTTGCAGACTCTCCTGTACCACTATTACCTGTCCAGTTACAGCATCTACCTCCACTATTTGTGCTCCTTGTTGCACAGGCTGTGCATCTCCATCATTTTCAACATCTGTTTCTCCCACTTTTATTTCTTCCGTCTCTTCTCCAGTCGTCTCAACATTGGAAGATTGTTCTTCTGTTTCTTTGACGTGTTCTTGTTGACTCTCTTCTATTGCCACTGCTTGATACGTTACTGTTTCTAATTCTTCTTCCTCTCTATCATCATTAGCTGCATCAATGCTCACTTCTGTTTCTTTCGTTCCCATGAGAACTACAACTTTCTTTTCTGCAGATTTTGGCTTCGGCATTACCATGACTCTAGTTGATGGTGTTACAGGCTTCTTTTCTACTTTTAAAACTGCAGGTTGGGGAACACTTTGTCTTTTCAGTCCTTCTGGTGTAACAACAAGAATCTTCTTAACCTCAGTTGCCTTACTACGAGAAACTGGAGTAGATATTTCCTTGGAAACACCAGGAGGTCTGACTAATATGGTTTCCATTGGAGTAGCTATGTTATTTTCCTCAGCTTTATTTTGATTGTCATTATCATTTATTTCCTTTACAGAGCTTTCAACTGTTTCAGCCAAATCTTTTACTGATTCAATAATCTCAGATTTTTTATGATCATTGCTAGATTCTGTTTCTGCTTTGTCATTTCCACTTTTTGGATTCAAATTTGCTTTTAACTCTGGTTTTCTTCTTGGTGTCTCTCTAGACTTTTCTTTTGGTGTCTCTCTAGTCTTCTCTTTTGGTGTCACTTTAGGCTTTTCTTTTGGAGTGTCCTTAACCTTTTCCTTGGGAGTCTCTTTAGCTTTTTCTTTATCTCTGTTCATTCTGCCCTTAGGTGTAGAAGCTGCTGATCCTGGCTCTTTCTTAATAGTTTTTACTATACCTTTATCTAGTTTTGGAGTACCTGTGTCTGCCTTCTTACATCTGCGCTGATGGTCCTCTAGAAGATATTCTACAGAGAAAGATTGCCCACATTCACAACTAAAACCGGTCTTTCTTCGAGTTGACATGTGAAAGGTATCGTCTGGCTCGGACTTGATTACCACTGTCCCTCGCCCTGGTAAAGTGACCTCAATTCTCTCTTTGTCTATTCCACTGTTTTTTTCAGACTCTGTTGTATCTGCATCATTTGAATCTTTTTTAGGTCGACCACGGCCTCTTTTTTCATCACCAGGAGAACTGATTTCATCCTCATTTTTCTTTGGTCTACTACCTCTTCCTCCTTTTTTTGACTCTTCACTATCTTTTACAGTAGGTGTCCCAGGTGTATCTTTTCTCGATCGCCCTCGACCTCTCCTTTCAGGTGTTTCTGTTGTCTCTGGTATTGGTGTGTCTTTTCTTGTCCTCCCATGGCTCTTCCTTGTAGAATCCATACTGGTTTCTTCTTCCTCTACTATTGCATCCCTTTTAGGAGTTGATGGGTCTTTCTTTGGTCGTCCGCGCCCTCTCGAATTTCCATCAGACACTTCTTCAACTGTTGTGTCCTTTTTATGAGTTGGTGTTTCTTTTCTCTGTTCGTCCTTTGAATCTCCATCCGATTCTTCTACTTTTTTGCTAACTGCTGCAGCTCTTCTGGGTGTAATAGGCATGTTGACCTGTTGATCTTATTTCTGTGCAGCCATTACCGGTAACTAAAAACCTAAAATGAAAAAGAAAAGGTTAAAGGTCAATTACTAATTTATATGTACATTGCATTTGAATATTAATTTTACTAAATGGTTCTATTCATTTTTCTGTAAAATTTACTCTACCATCTCACCAGATCATGCAGATTATGCCATCCTGTACTTTTTATGACGTTGCCTCTGAGATGAAATCTGGAGTACAAACATTGATGTGAAAGTGTATGATCATGAATATACATCCATTGGTCATTGGTGGATTGTTGTCTCATTGGCAATCATATCACATCTTTCAATTATTTAAAAGACAGCTTGATTCTATATCAGGAGTGTTGTTTATAATTGTTGTACTTTCACCTTTGTTATCTTTTTTCATCTTGATGGATGACTGCTTTAAATCCAGTGGCAAATCAAATAGGAGAATATGTTAATGCTTAGTACGAATACTGCTTAGCCTTTGTACTAAAACCACACACAAAGCCAAACTTTAATGTCTAATTCTCAATGTACATGTAACAGTCTGCAGAAAAACATGTCACTCCACTGGGACAAATTATTCTGACTACGTTCTGACCTGATCTTACAATTGGCAGATCCATGGGGGGGTTCAAGGAGTTAAAAAAAAAACTTTTTTTTCCTCCATATTTTTTTTTATTATGTGAAAGTTTCATGGTGTTCCAGGGTTGGAACCCCATTTTCCATGTTTTTTAAATTGGCTGGATCCGCGTCTGCTTACCATGCTTACTCTTAATGCTGCAAGCTAAACAGAGGATAAAAAAATACAAATTGGAATGTCTTCAGAATGACGAGGCTGAGGGACAAACCCACTTGAGGCAAAACTGCTAGGATGGTACCACCAGACAACAGAGGCCGTTGAATATTCCAAAAGACAAGAGGACATGTAATTTGTGCTTAAATGCTATTGGTAATGAATACCATTATTTATTTGAATGCAATTTTGTATTAGTAAAAAGTATCAGAAATCAGCACATTCCAGAATACTATGTTAAACATCCCAGTGCAGCAAAAATGAAAGGACTACTATCATTGGTTAATATTAATGTACTTAAGAATGTATCTTTATTCATTTCAAAGTTAACGAAAATATTATAAAGTAAAGTAATTATTAATATATTTCATTTCTAAGTTGGTCTATTTATTTCTATGATTGTATGTGATTGTATTTTATATATATTTACCTCTTGTTTCACATGTCAATGTGACGGAGTGTTTTTAAATAAAGCATATTGTATTGATTAATATACTACAACAAATGAACCAATTTAAAACTGTAACTGTGCATTTTTTTCTTTAAATCTATACATCTTTCTTGACGCTGAATTTGTCATTTGATTGCTTCTACTCACTTTATGATGTTTCTTGTCACCAATATTCATGTTGAAATTTAAAGATACATGAGGGTCTAGATGGGGGTCCTTCATTTCTGTATTCTTTAATTTTTTAGGCAATTTTTCTCTATTGTTTATAATTTTTGCCCATAATTCTCTATTCTTTATCTGGTTATATTTTAACACAAGTCTCATTATTCTCTTTTCTTGATGTTTTTGGTCCATTTTTCAGTATTCTTTTTATATTTTGCCAATTATTCTGTAACACCCCCCCTCCATCCACAAGATTAAATTTTAATGTTGATTTTGTGGATACTTTAATTTTAGTAAAAAAATTATTTTTTATTTTATGTTTATGTTTATCATGAAAACTTGAACTCTGATCTGAACTTTATGATGCTAATTGAGGTCTTTGACTTTAAGCTGGTACATTTGTATTTGTTTTTGAATGACACAGAGGATAAAACTTTGGGAATATAGAAATTTCTCCGACCTTTAATCACTCTTCACGATTAAACTTTTGAATCTACAGGCCCGAAGCTGAATTTTACGAAAACTTTTAGTTAGATTCTATTGGCCTGTAGATATGATTTTTACAGGCCCGGCAGGATTTTTAAAAGCCTGGGCTGTTGGGCCTGTGGTTGAGTGCAAAGACTGTTTAATTACTTTTAGAAAAGAGAATGGATTTTTGTAACAGTTAATAACGAAAACGGACAACAGAAGACAGACACTTTATGGGCCCTTTGGGCCAGGTGAGCTAAAAATCAAGGTTTTATTGGCCATGTTTTGAACATTTTTCCTTCAAATTTATTTAAAAATGATTTTGAAAATAACAAATGAACCTCATTGTTGTATATCACTGTTTAACATGGTAATTTGGCTGAACATAGTTTATAGATTATGCTGTTGTCGAATGTTGGGACAAGGGTAACATACAACATTTCTGATTTTCTTAGCTTATATGGCCAAAAGGCTTAAAGGGTTATCTGAGATTTAATCCTGCTCCTGATCATCAATCTGTCTGTATGGGTTAAATTCTATGCAGGTTCATCTCTGCAAACTTGGGCCAATAATAACCAACTAGCAAGAATTCATCAGCATGATCATGACATGCAATTTCCTTTCATCATGTTCATTTCAAACTTTTGAAAAACATGCATGAACGATCAACAGATGTACTTTTTAATTCTTTAATTGGTCAGTTCCAACTTTTCTTCCTCTGAAACCACACAGCAGATGTAAACTGAATTTTACAGAAAGTAGTAATTCTTGGAAGATCATATTAACAAACATGATTCTCAATCAGTTCGAATTGTATGAAAACTATGGCCCGACAATCAGATGTGTTCTTGTATGGCAGTGTCTGCCCAACCCCCATGCGGGGATGAGTAGCCAAATTGGCATTCGTAGGCTACGCGTACCTGCTTCCAGTTTTATAATTGAATGTCATCGGATCGGGAATAAAACGTGAAATAAACTAGTAAATTATCGCAATTTGTGAATAATTTGATTACTCGCAGAGATGAGAAACGTCCCTGGTTAGTTTTTAAATATTTTTACCTTTATTTACTATAATTTTTTATGTAATTTTAACCTATAAGATATGCATGTCAGCCATGAACACCTTATATTTCAGGTGCAACAGTAGAAGAAGTAAAAGATGAATCCAGAGTTCTGAATGGATGTATAATTATCAAATGCATCTATTTTTATACATATGGAATTTGGTCTTATTACTTGCTTCTTTAATTTATGAATACACTCAAGCTTTATTTGAAATCGTTTAAGATATTTTAAAAGTTTGGTTTCTGTTTTGAATCTTACAAGAAAATTATTTTCACACAGTCACTCGAGTTTTTACAATTTTTTTTTCAAATTCAGTATAATTTTATTCTTTTAAAATGTTCATTTACATTTAATTTCTAATTTTATCCTGTTTTCTTACATTTTTATTCCTGTAATGTGCGTCTAATCGGCCATGTTAATTATGCATTTTCAACTATTAAATACAAATTAAAAAATATTATTATCTTCACTGAATTCACAAAATCTGTGAATTACCGATAATTTCCGAGTATATTTCACGTTTTATTCCGGACCCAATGACATTTAACTATAAAACCAGATGTGGATACGCTTAGCCTATGGATGCCAATTTGGCTACTCATCCCCGCAGACACTGCCTTCTGGTGGCAATGCCTCTAAGTGATTGAGCCAAAGAAGATCTTCCCTAACTCAACCAGTTAGATTACTTTTATATCTCCAAGTATACAACAATGACAATCAAATGAAACTTCATTCAAGTTTAAACTCTGAAGAGCATAGATAACTTTTTTGGTTGATTTTTGTTAAGGAGAACAAATGTCAAACACAAAAATTCCACCTGGATACTTTTAGGCCATTTTAGAGTTTGTTTGAGGTTAGGGTAAGGTTTTAAGGATATAACAGATGTTAGGATTAATTAGTGTAGTCCAAATAATTATGACCTCTTGAAAGGCTATTGAAGGTGTCACAGCAAATAAAAAATACCCTTTCAAGACGTCATTATTATTTGGACTAGATTTGGTGTAGCTCTGGTTTATATATATGGACTTTCGGACACACAAGCAAGAGAATTTTGGCAGAGATCCACCGCAAGTATTGTCCATGAAAACGGAGTGGCATCATTTTAATAAATCGAAGATAAGAAAACTTGAAAAGTCGTGATTAAATATTGATAAACATCAAAAGTGCGGATTTTGTTTTGCCTTCGAATATTACTTTTTGGGTCAAATAAGTTTCCTGTCCGGATACGGGTTCGACCACGCACCATTTTATCGTTCAGCCACCTTACGGAGCTTTATCTGTTGGAGACATATTTGCCTTGAAACAATGTTTGAATTCAACACAGTAAATTATAGTTTACCTTTCTTACACTTATAAAACAAAAATATGAATGCATGTATTTATATCAGCCTTCTTTCAAAAAAGTTCAAACGGGAACAAAATGGCGGAAAATCCAGCGCGTCCGTCATCCACCCAAAAATGTATTACGTCATGGTCAATGGAACGTTTGAACGCACGTAACTTAACATGGGATGAAAGAATACAAAGAACATTGACTTTCTAAGCGCCCCCTATGGTCATGTGGTCAGTGCTAAAAATAATTCAAAGGTTATTTACTTGATTATTAAATAAATAGAACATAAAATCTTTTGCAACAATAATATTGCACAACTCATCATTTTAAAAAAGAAAAAAAATCCGCAAAATACAATGAATTGGCGGCAATATCTTTTTGTATCGATACCTAGTTATTCATAGGTGACAAATGTGTTGACTGAGAATTTTAACCACGCTATGTGGGTTTATAATATGAGAAAATATTATATGCCTAATTAAGAAAATTATGACATAAATTGAAATCAAGGATTTGTATAGTAAGACAAATCCTTGTAGAAATTATTTTTCAACTTGATCAGTTTTGGCGCGTTTAACATAGTAAAAAATCGATTATCTCCCTTAGACCAAGGATGTAGAAACTGGAAGACTTGAAATACAATAATAATACTTTCGAAAAATCAGAACCAATATCCTGATGTGCACGGTTCGTCAGTTTTTTAATTAAAACCTACAAAATGACGGCTTACATGTTTTTCTCCAGTGCCCTCTATATAACCAGTGATTTATGGCATGGTATTGGTTTGCAAAAATTTGATATTTTTCATTTAAATGCAATATTTCTTATTTAATTGGTATATTTCTTCATTTAAATGCAATATTTTTTTTATTTGAATGGTATATTTTTTCATTTAAATGCAATATTTTTATATGTATACTGTTCCCAGTTCAAATGGAATAATTTTTCATTCAAATGGTATAATTTTTCATTTAAATGGTATAATTTTCATTCAAATGCAATAGTTTTTATTCAATTTGTATAAAATGTCATTTGAATGCAATAATTTTTATTCAATTGGTATAGTAGTTTTTTATTTATATGCAATAATTGCATTATGGAAATTTTTTGACGTCATAAGCTCAAATTTGCAACAACGTTTGTGATTGGTCGGAAATTGTTTGGATTTCTCCCCTTTCTTTCTAAACATGGGTGACCAAGAATAAAAAAAACGCGTCAGAATATCGCCCCTCTAACTAAATCTAACGTTCGTGCGAGTCCTGCACTGGCTGTTACAAGCTTGTGGTCATAACTAGTATTTCTATTGCAAAATTTCAATGGTCAAAACGTTCGGTCCACTTTTCAAAAACCGTTTCATTGTATATGGATTTATATGCAAGTTTATCGTTTTTTTTTAAATAGATTAGACACCGTTGGTTTTCCCGTTTGAATGGTTTTACACTACTAATTTTTTGGGGGCCCTTTATAGCTTGCTGTTCGGTTTGAGCCAAGGCTCCGTGTTGAAGACCGTACGTTGACCTTTAATGGTTTACATTTACAAATTATGACTTGGATGGAGAGTTGTCTCATCGGCACTCATACCACATCTTCTTATATCTATATACAACGTAAACCAGACGTTTCTCAGACTGTTTTCTTTTTTGAATAAATCCTTTGCAGCGCGTTGTGTACTGATTGATAACTCAGTCTGGGAGAACAAGATTTATTTCAGTACCAGTTGTAATTAGGTTTGAGCAAACTTCCAGTAATTGCAAATACTCTTATGTCGGTGCTTTGTGTCTATTGTCTTAATGTTAGTTTTTTGTGTGTGTCTCGTACCGATAATTTGAGTTAGTTTGCTGATTTGTGCAGGTTGTTATTTTTAATTGTTCTGTTACACCACTGTCCCAGCTTCGGGATGGGTTGCTCACAAACATGTTGTTGTACTGCTACACCGCTGTCCCAGATTAGGGGGAGGATTGGGATCCCGCTAACATGTTTAACCCCGCCACATTCTGTATGTATGTGCTTGTCCCAAGTCAGGAGCCTGTAATTCAGTGGTTGCCGTTTGTTGCTTTGTTATACATATTTGTGTTTCGTTCATTTTTTTGTACATTAATTCGGCCGTTATTATAGTTTTCTCGATTGAATTGTTTTACATTTTTGATTTCGGGGCCTTTTATAGCTGACTATGCGGTGTAGGCTTTGCTTATTGTCGAAGGCCGTACGGTGACTTATAGCTGTTGATTTCTGTGTCATTTGATCTCTTGTGGAGAGTTGTCTCATTTGCAATCATACCACATCTTCGTTTTTATATCCACCCTGCCATATTCTTTATTTGCCTGTCCCAGGGATGGAGCCTGTAGTTTAGTGGTTGTCGTTGGTTCCTGTCTCGACTCATATTTGATATTTCGTAAATTGTTAGTATGTATAATTAGGCTGTTAGTTTTTTCGTTTGAATTGTTCACACTTTTCATGTCGGGCCTTTTATAGACGACATTACAGTATCAGGTTTTTGTCATTGTTGAAGGCCTTACGATTGTCTACAAAAAGCATTTGTCTACATGACGGCAAAAAGCTCTACAGAGCTTATGTTTTGTAGTATTTCATGTAACCCGACGTAAAATAAATTTTTCTTATCTTATCTTATCTATAATTGCTTACATCCACTTCATATTTGAACTCCGGTGGAAAGTTGCCTTATTAGCAATCATATTCCATCTCTTCATTTTTATATTATATACGTGACCAATGTTTTCCTGAACAAGCATGAAATAATTTTCACTGGGCGTTAAAATTAGCAACAAACAATCAATCAATTTAAACTTGTGTTAAATAAGAGGAAAACCATTTGATATTTATTTATTTGTTGGGGTGGGGGACAGAAGGATTTCATATATGAATATAGTTGCCTGGTAAGAGCTGAAAAATAGGCATGATTAGCGACAGATTGAAATGAATAATAATGCCCTCTCTTCCCTTCCCCATCCTTCATCTATAAACTTAAACTGACCACCACGGAATAGCCCAATAGTGTTGAAAGTAGCGTTAAACACCAATCAATCAAAACCCCTTCCCTAGAATATCAAATAATCGTCCCTTAACTGTTATTGTCCGTGTAGTTCTTATATTTATCCAGCTTATCGTCCTACTAAGGCTGTCATACCATAAAAACGTTTATAAAACAGCTCACATTCTAATATATCTGCATTCATAAATTTATTAATTTCATTTAGACTAAACGACGCAATGTTTGTTATGTGCCTCTGCCGTCAACCTATCAAAAAAGAAGAGGTGGAAGAGAGCCAGAAGATCTTCCCAATGCAAAAAAAAAAACAGAAATGGACTTCTTCTGGCTCACTTCCGAAGAACAAAAAAAAAACGCGCCCCATTGATATGTTTTAAAAACGCCTTGCCCCTACTCTTTTTTCCAACAAAATGGCATTATTAAATATATAAACATATATATAATCATAAAAATTAAAATGCTATTGTATTTTTATAAGACCTACTTTATTACATGACCTGGGACTAATGACATCTATCTATAAGTCCTAGCATACATTAATTATTATAATATGAATATGTTTCTTGTTTTAATAACCACATATGATGCTATGCATGAGTCACCATTTATCAGGACATGAATTGGGTTTACATAGAGAGGATAAGGGACGACATCAGAAAATCAATGCAGGATAAAAAACTTAATTGAAATAGTTTTTTTTTTTTTGGGGGGGGGGGGGGTCAAAATTGCTGCAAGTTTTGTTTAATTAACATCGATTTTATATATATCCTTATTGGTCAATCAATTTTTCTCAAATTAAGTAAAGAATGGGGGGGGGGGGGGGGGGGGTCAGTGAAAAAAACTATATGAATTAAGTTTTTTTTATCCTACATTGAACTTTTGATGTCGTCCCTAATGTGCAAAAAAAATAGCTAAGGGGCGGGACCAAACCTATAGATAACATAATAAAGAAATGATGAAATATACAGAATACGTTGATTGACTTTTGGTTGCTTTATGTCCAGTGGCAAATATGTCACGCATATTGATAGAGATCAAAGGATAAAGAATAGAGTGAAATGGTTAAAACTAAAAGATATAGAATTATAGAAACGATCTTTGATCTGAAACCCCTACCCTCACACACACACCATAACCATTACTGCCAATACTCGCATATATACATCTCTATACAAATATCTAAATTTGAACCTACTCCCCCCCCCCCCCCCCCCCCTCCTCTAGACACCGAGGTTTTGGATCCGCCCCTTTTAAATGTGTCTAATTATATACATTTTGTACGGGTCTAGATAATAGCTAAACGTACAATCATATATTTTGTTGGATACCTAATTATATTATATAATGTGTCACAAAATAAACTTGTATACCCCCCTTCCCAATGCAGTATTGAAAAGTAAATCATTTAAAAGTCCTGAAAATAAAATATGTTTTGAAATATGCCCTGCATACTTATTTATGCAAAGACATATAGTAATTATTGAACTACTGTGGGGCTTGAAAAAAATCTATTTAAGGGATTCGGAGACGAGAACAGTAAAAAAAAAGCTCAGCAACGAATCTTAAATGTAAAATGATTTGCAGCATAAGACATGAGAGCTCATATATATATATATAGATAGTATTAAATATGAAGTTCACGCCTCATATAGTGAAGTCCTATGTCATAGGACTATTTTTGTAACATGGGTTAGTAACTGGTTCCAATTTATCCTGAATTGTCTTTATTAAAGAATTAGTTCCGGAGTATAACAGCTTATGTCTCTACTTGTGGGTTTCTGGTTCTGCTGTCGTAATTAGGTGATTTTTTTTCTACATGTAGTAAAAAAGAGGGGGCTTAGTCCAAATAATTGTAACGTCCTGGATGCTTTTTATTCTTTTTTCATGTGTGCCTTCCTGCAACGTCTCTGAGGATCAAGAAAAGTAAAAAATGATATAGCACTAAAGAACGTCATAATTACATGTATCTAGACTTGGAAGGGGGAGGGGGTAGCTATGTATTTTTTTTTATTTCAATGTGTAGACTGTAGGAGAGTTTCTTCAGAAAAGGTTTTCATTGGAGGTGTTTTTGCCATGCACGCAGTCATCTGTTTCTATCCATGAACATGTTGTGTGTCAAAT